TAACTCTGCAATTTTTGTGAAAAAAAAAAAAAATATTAGGCCTGATGCCATTTCATCTGATTTCTAAAAAGCGTCTGGCTCTACACGTTAGTCATAGCACAGACTAGTTGCAATTTTTAGTTGGGGAGTAAGTACACAAACTCATGGTAGCCCATTAAGACTTTTTTTGAAAGAAAGAATATTCATAAAGACCATTTTAAAGAATATTATAGCCTTAATCCTAGAATGCACTGAGCTCCCACAAAATCAAGTTTACTGAATCGAAGTTTGGGGACATGCTCCCATAATATTTTACTAAATAGACCCTAAGACCCATTTTATTCTGGTGGTTCCTTTTGAGAACTCCTCATTAACTTATGTTGTTTGCTTCTTACTAGGGAGGACAGTTCTCTCTGGATTTAGGATTAGGAGTAGTCAAGTTTCTTTTGGGTTTTCAGCTTGGGAGGTACTATCACATAGTGTTAGGAATGTTGGCTCTCGAGATGCCTGAGTTCAAATCTCTACTTCACTATCTTCCAGCTGTAAGACCTGTGTGAGCTATATAACCAACCTTCTGTGCTCCAGTTTCTTTATCTGTGAAATAAGGATCATAGTGTCTACCTTATAGGTTTGGTATGAGGATTAAAGGATCCCTCAATAAGTGCGCCCTTATCACATTTAGCCCCCATTATTATTTTCTTTTTTAAAGATTTTATTTATTTGACAGAGAGAGACACTGAGAAAGGGAACACAAGTGGGAGTTGGGGGGAGAGGGAGAAGCAGGCTTCCCGCCAAGCAGGGAGCCCGATGGGGGGCTCGATCCCAGGACCCTGGGATCATGACCTGAGCCGAAGGCAGATGCTCAACGACTGAGCCACCCAGGGGCCCCAGCCCCCATTATTAGTTTTGGTACTAATATCATAGTCTCATAGATACTGAGAACTGTGTAATCAGTGATATCTTTCTCTTTGTACTGGCTACTCCAGAGCTTAAAGTGAACTTGTGGCTAACTTCCAGTAAATGAGGCTAGTGACATATTACTTGGCAGTGATGGTGGAGTCCTAGGCCTATTCCTAGTATAATCTTCTATCCTTTTTTCCTTTGCTTTACTTCCCTTGCTTTTGAACTTTTACTTTCCTTTGATTTTGTCCTGGAGCAAGCCAAGTCATCAGTCTTGTACAGAAATCATCATTGTTGTCAGTTACCTGAGTATTTGACATCCATGGACACACTTCCTTTTGCACAATACCTCACTCTTCATCCAGCACATGTTGTGTGGTGTATTTAAATTTGCTAAGGAAAAGTCTTTCCCAATGTCTGATGAGGGCACATGCACATGTGTGTTAGTGTGTACGTGTATGTGTGTGTGTGGGGGGGGGCAGGAGGGAGAGAAAGAATATGAATGATGAAGACAGACCATCCCACCTGGCTTGCATCACCTTTCCTCCATCTTGTGCATGACTTTTGGTTTAGTACTGATTCCTCTCCACAGAGGAGAAATCATTTAATTTGATTTGATGGGGGAATATAGTCCAGTCATGAGCTGTTGGGCAGCAGTCCAAGTAAGACAACTCGGGAGAAACCTTGGCCAGTGTATTGCTGACCACATCCCCATATGTTCCTGTACAAAAGCTGTGTTATTCTGAAAATCAAGGAGGCTTATTTTTGGAAATGCTTCATTTTACTGCATTTTAGGAGACTTGGCTTCCTTATCACATTCTTCATTGGCCCCAAAGCATTTACTTAAGAAACCTCGCAGCCCTCTGTTCTTTGCTCCTACAATGGCTCCATAGAGGAGCCCACAGGAGTGTGTCTGCCTCAGTGCTCACGGCTCTTCACCTTGTGACACACACTTTAAAATTTTCCAATTACATATTCCAACTGTTTGTGATGAAATGAACCCATGAGGGTAATTGTCGTAAGAAGGATTTAAGAACCAGTAATAACTGATACTGGTTGAACATGGCTGACACCGTCATACACTAACTTTACATTTGTTATCTAACTGAATCGTCAGAAACCCTATGTGAGGTATGTTTTATCTCCATTTTATAGCTGGAGAAACCAGGATTCAGAGAGCCAAAGCTGTTTGTCTACAGTCACAAAGCTAGCAGTGGAAGAATGGGGATGTGCCAAATGTTGGACCCTGTTCACTTCGCTACTACACGAAGCTGCCTTGCAAACCAAAGTTTAATTATTCTCTCTTTAATTGGTTATTTTAATTCAGATGTAAATACGTTAATTTCATCTCATTTTAGCTCAGTAAACCACCTTTGCTATTTTTAGGGTCTCACATCAGTTGGATGAAGGCCATTGATGGCTTTGAAAATTGGTGTGCAGGGGGATATATCTTTGGGTGATGGGAAATTCATAGTCTATCCCATTTTCCAGTGGTTTGATAATCATACACGGGTCCAGAAAGAACTGTATCATACGTTTTATGTTTCCTTTCAAGTGGTAAAAACAGCTTTATATAATGGGAAATTATATCCTTATACCAGCATTGTATTAGCCTTTGGGGTTTCCTGTCAGCCATGCATGCCTTTGCATTTATGTTTGGTTGTATCTTCAGTGCCAATGGTTGTTTTGTAAACCAGATCTCTAACCAGCATTGAGTTGTGCTGTGGTCGCCTATAGCTATTTTTCACTGTTTAGGATTGCACTGTAGGACTTTCATCAAAGTGCTATCTATGTTTCCATTGAGGGGGGGCCTTTTCTGTCAAAATTCATGGTGGTTTCTTTCTGTCTGAATATTATTAGTGCTATTGCGCCTATCTTCCAGTACTGAAGCTATTTTCTACATCAGAATTAGGGTTTGCAACCAAGGGAAAATAGTTCCTATAGATGTTTGCATAGTCTTCTAACATTTCTCACCGAAATTGGAAAGTTATTAGAATTATGTGCTTTTAAACACTTTCTGAACTTGTTAAAGCTGAGTAGGAGGGAAGTATAAATTACCAGTTGTTGGCAAGGTGAAATATTGCGTTAGTGCTGTATCTTTATAATGAGTTTCTGTTCTCAGTGGAATGTTTAATTGACCAGTTCTGTTAAAGTGTCAGAGAAGACTGTGTCCAGGGTCACTAATTTCACCATCATGCCTGGAGCTAACAACTAAAACAGAGCTAGAAAGCTGGGAGAGACCTTCTGAAATGGTCTGAGTTCCCTTAACTCTGTCCTGTTTGACATTTTTATATCAGCAGTTTGGAGGCAGATATAGAATGTATGCTTCTCAAATTGGCAGATAACCCAAGTCTAGGTAGGATAACTAACACCTGAATGATAAAAATGGGATTCCGAAAGCTCTCAGCAGGCTGGAGTAATGCGTGGCAAATAATAAGATGGGGTTTAGTAAGGATCCATCTACAGCCCTGAGTTCAAATTCAGAAAGTCACTTTCCTTATTACAAGAGAGGGGAAACGGCCCAATGTCAGTGGTCTGAAAAAGACGTATGGGACGTCAGGCTCACAGAAGCTCGGAATGGACTACCAGTCTCCCATGAAAGAGACTGAGGTCCAGAGAAGTCGCCAATTGAATTCTGGCTCCAGCCATTATCACAGGGGCTATCCAGAGAACACCCACCAGGGCAGTGAAAATCAGAAAACCTTCCAGTAGGAGGAATTGGGGGCAGCAAAACATGTTTTGCCTGGAAAATGGAAGACTTAGATCATGACAGCTCTTTTAAATAATCAGCTTTCCTGTGTGAGAGCTGAGATTTTTTTGTACTGTTTCTTCATAGGGTAGAGCTAAGATAAATGAGTATACATTTGAAGAAGCAGAGTTTGGGCCTTTTTAAAGGGGGAATTGTCTACTAGGTAGGGATGCGTTTCTAAATTTTCTGAATGCCTCACCTGTTCAAAGCTGTCTAGCTGTCTAGAAGGTTGTAGAGTTTATGTAAGCATTTGGATGGAAGTTGGCCCAGGTGACCTCTAACATCTGTCTTTACCTCTGAGCTTGAACAATTGCTATTTTATTTTTCTTCTTGCTGCCAGGGCATACACTGCAGACATAGTGCAATAATATTCTTATTTTTGTATTTTCTTGACCAGAACCCTTAATTCTCATCATTGGAAAGTAATTATAATTAATAGTTTTAATTAATATAAGTAATAGCATTATATAATGGATATCAGAATTTTCATAATAATTAATATGATCAACATAATCACTCCCTTTCACAATGTGAAACACTGGTGAAAAGATTTGATACTATAATAATTCAAAGTAACAGGAGACATTTAAGAGGATGTGGGTGGGACTTAAAATCATCAATGTGCCCCAAGATGCTGAAACAGCTGAATTGCTTTGTAAAACTGCATCTTCTTTTATTCTTTGTTTCTTTAAGTAGCTTCATTTCTAGCACCAAAATTAAGCAGATGTTGTACCACATGTTTAGTTTTGCATTTATTCTTGCCTTTAAAAATTGTGTGGGCTATAAGCAAATTCATAATCTCTTTTAATGTTAAGACCTCAAATCTCCAAAGTATTAAAGTAAAACCTGTTTTTATCTTAGATTTAGAATAATTCTTAGAAAAAATATTTTGCAAGCTAAGTTCATGGTCTCTACTACATTTTTCCCCCTGACATTGTGCCAGTGTTATGGTGAAAGCATTTCCCTCTTAATTTTTTGGACACATTATTATGTTTTTCTATTCAAAACATGTTGAGTACCTAGGGCAAGCCTATTAAAGTTTTGAACACAAGATCAGTGATTCCAAATTCCTGCAAATCTGGAAAATAAGAATTATAAATTTGCTTAGGTCTACTTTCATTTGGATTATACACACATTGGATTCTTTTGAGGAACAGTATAGTATAGCAGTATGCAAGGCATGGTTAAGACTCAGGTTGGTTAGCACTTAGCATTTAGGGTACAATAGGGCCAAGATCCATAGTACATGGACACAAAGGTCAAATCAAATTTAGTGTGGTATTGAGTAGGTTTACAGTTACCTCTAATCATCATAGCTTATTCCAGAGGTCTAGTCATTGCTTACATTACTTTTCATTCTTTTACATTTTAGGTGGTTGCCTTTTTGATGAGCCATATAGCACTTGTGGATATAGTCAAGCTGAAGATGATGACTTCCATTGGGAGCAGGTGAACACCTTGACCAAACCAACTTCTGATCCATGGATGCCATCAGGTTTGCATGTAGTTTTAAATTTTCTTTTTAAAATCAAAGTTTCATAAGAGTCTGAATCACAGTAAATACTCATTGGGCATTGGCTGAATGAGTGAGGGTGTTGGTCTTTTGGCAGCCCAAAGTAATTAACTAGTGAGAATAGTACAATTAAGAGGACCGGTTATAAAGTACAGAGAGTTCACCTTTGTATCTCTTCTTTTACAGTCTAATTAAAGTTTACCCCCTTTATCTCTGGGTACACCTGAGCTAGATTACTGGGCATTCCCCAGTTGATCCTTTCCCAAGCAGCAGATATGGGAAATAGATGGATGTCTCTTCTGCCAAATGTGTCTAGTGAATGGAACTGTAGCTGGGAAATCCAAATAACAAAGTCTCTGTCACAAATGGGAGACCTTGGAGAATAACTTAAACCTTGTCAGCCTCAGGAGCTCACTTGGCACCAAAGATAGAATGGTGATGCACACATGTGGATACTTTTTTTTCTGGAGAAGTGCTTAGTAAATTTTCCGATGAGTGAAAGACATTTGTTCCATTAAACATCAGCAAGAATTCGACTTCTTATTTTGAAGGAAGAGTGGGAAGGTGTTGATGAGTAAACATTAATCACATTGGAACTTGGTCATTTTAATGGACACCCTTTGCAGGTGGTGGTGTTGGACAGCACTCTAAGAGTTTAGATTTGCTGATTCATGTTACAACGGGATAAGAATGTGCCCTAGTCAGGATTCACACTGCAAAACATTCTGATTTGGATTTTAGATAAAACACGTTTATTTGTACTTTTTTGTAACTGTAAAGTTCTTCGTTAATACACGCAAATGTAGCAATAATTGCATTTAGTAAGTCATCCCTTTTAAGTAGGAAGTAGAGTTTAATGTCGTTCTTCACTAAGCTTTAACAGTTATGATGCCCACCATGTTCTTTCCCTCTCCTTCCCATATTTATCTCCTTACAACCTCGAAGAAGGGAAGACTGTGCTCTTTGGCACTGCAGCTTTGCTGGGCTTCAGACGTTTCTAGCTGTTAGTTATTTCCCCTCAGCCAACATTCTCCTTTTCTGTCTCCCTTTTTTTCTTATATGTGTGTGCTTTTGAATACGACTTGTGCTTGCATCTGTGGTACTTCAGTTGTTTTTACCAACCCCAGCTCTTGCTTTCATGCTTGCTAGTGAGCAGGGAGCGGGAAGGGGAGCATGGCCGGGCTCCTGACGCAGAGCTGTCCTTCCCCAAATAGGCTCCTCACCCCAGAAGGCCTTCTGGGCATCACCTGTTCTCTCTTGAGGATCCAGCCTGTGTCCAGAAAGGCTGGGGATGGTCGCAGCCATGATAGTGGGGAGGGTGCTCAGAGTTAGTCCTGGGAGAGTTCTCCACAAGAGTGCACTCAGGCTTTTCTTATCTTCTAATTTGGTGTAAAAAAAAAAAAAAAAAGTAATTTCTCGCATTAGCTAGTAGATTTAATTATTGTGGTCCTTTAGTTTGAAGACTGTCTTGGAAAAACTGTCTTTGACAAAGGAGCCCCAATACTGCAGTATCTTTTTCAGCCTTCACTGGTTCTATTTTTGTCACATGATGACTTACCTCCCAGAGGTATCATTTCTTGACACCGTCTTGTCCTTTCCTTCTTTCTGATTCCCCAAAATAGCATCTCAGACCAAATTGTCCAAGTTCTAGATATAGAAAGGATGGGTTCCTAGCAGAGGCCATTACAAAAATGGTAATAATGATCAAAGACTAGTTGTATCCTGGGGCAATCAGTTGGGTAAATGAAAAACAAAGGGGAAGTAACTGTGCAAGCATCTGGCCTTTGAAGGCTCTTCTGCCTTTGAAAGAATGAAGTGGGGGCATTTAAACATTTTGTTTGAATTTACTCTACTTCTGTTGACTAATGGAATACTTGGTGATTAATATCAGGCCTTTGTAACTTCAGGTCTCTGAATGTTTTATCTTCCAACACGTTTCTCAGTTCCATCTGATAGTTACAAAAGGTGTGCCCTCAACCCTGGCCCTCAAATAGGGTGCAGGTCACTGTGGGGGTATGTGGGTTGTTGGGTGTCAGCAGGTCTGGAGGGAGCTGGGGCAAGACTAGCAGTCTGGTTCCTCTTTCCTCCAACGATGTCAGCAGGCATTGGTCCAGATGAGATTTCCGAAAAGTGGTAGTTTCTCCATCAGACTAAATTTCTGCCATAACATAGAACTGCCAATAATATGGTATTTTTTCCTCTTATTCATTAAACAAACTTTAGCCATTAAAAAAATTCCTTTGAGCCCTACTCTGTGCTAATCACAATGCTGATTACTGGGATGGGGGGTGAAAGTTTATAAGAAATGAATCTTTCTCTGTAGGAACTTATATACTTGGGGAAGAGAGTTACAAAAATACAATTAGTGAACAATCTAAGTCCTATATTATTGTCTCACAGACCAGCAGTGCCCTAAGAGCACCAGCTCCTGTGTTATTAAGGGTATGGACTGGTGCTCAGCTGACCTGTCCACCTACAGTGAGAAGTTAAATTCTCAATGAAATTAGGAAATATCGTCTTAGAAACTTGGCATATGGTATCCTAAGGTATGGATTTTAAAACAGAGTTTCCAATGTGTATAGACAATATAGCCATGAGTTGCTTTAAGTACTCTTTAGTTACAAGGGATTTCTCCTCCTCCTCCTTTTGCATTAATATGTATAACATGATTTATTTATTTCAAAAACAAATTCCAAAGCTGGCCCTCTTGAGCTAAAACAGAAACCAGTTTTATGAATTGGTCAGGGTAAATGGGTGGCAAAATCAGATACAACGTTTCCCAAGGGCTAATTTCCTTAAGCCTTTATTTACAATATGGTTGGATTTGTTCTCACATGTATATTTGTATGTGTTCTCTCCTGTGTAGGATGGTTCTGTGATGCCTTAGACCAAGGGTTGGCATACTGTGTCCTTCAGGCCAAATCCAGCCTATTGCCAGTTTTTTGGATAGCTCAAAAGCTAAGAATGGTTTTTATGTTTTTATGTTTAAAGATTTTGTTTATATGAGAGAGAGAGAGAAAGTGCAAGTGGGGAAGAGAGGGAGAAGCAGGCTCCCCGCTGAGCCGGGAGCCCAATGGCAGGGGTCAATCCCAGGAGCCTGGGATCCTGACCTGAGCTGAAGGCAGTCGCTTAACGGACTGAGCTATCCAGGCGCCCCAGTTTTTATGTTTTTAAATGGTTGAAAAAAATCTAAATAATAATAATGTTTTGTGACACGTGAAATTCAAATTTCATTGTCCATAAACAAAGTTTTACTGGCATGGAGCCTTGGGCATTTGTTAAACATCGTCTGTGATTGGTTTCAAGCCACAGTGGCAGGGCTGAGAACAGACACCACAACAGATACCGTAGGGTTCACTAAGCCTAGATATTTACTGTCTGGTCCTTTATGGAAAAATTTTGCTGACCCCTGTCTTAGACCATTTTTGCATCAGCCTGTGATAGTTGCTTTGGACTCCGTTTATATTGTTATTGCTTCTGTATTCATATTATAATTATTAATACCCAAATACTATTTCATATTTTCTCTTACTTTCAGATGATATATTTTCCAAACATTAGGCGATTAAAATCATAAGAAAAAAACATGATAATTAGGAATTTTCTCTATTAAAAAAGCATTGTGATTTTTCCTTATTGTGTAATACCATCATCCTTGTGGGACTCTTGTGATTCTAATAAGCAAGTGATCCATCAATATGATTTTTAAAATTATGACAGTGAAAGACTGAAATTTTCACTCTAAATTTGCTCTAATTAAAATTTATTTTCTTTTTCTGGGTCTTTTTTTGAGATTGATGTTTTACTGTGTATATGGTTTGTTTCTCTGTATCTTCATGTGTAAGGTTATTTTTAGCCACATTTAAAAAATTTAAATACAGCCTGGAGCTTTATATAAGCCAACTTGATAACTACTCTAAGGCTGTGACATTGGCTCTGGAAATACATGTTTAGGGCAAATAAAGCCAAATACCATTTAAATTTTTGTATTTGAAGTTGACGTTTATGTTACAGATTAGACTTTTGCAGCTAGTGCTGAACCAGTTTGTCTAATGGTAAAACTATGCCACACATGGTTTCTCAGGTGTGTGGTTCATTTCCTATCAATTATCTCCATTAGCAATGGGGAATTTTCTTAAATTTTATCATAAGTTTACTTTGATGTTTACTTTGATAGTTTACTACTATCAAAGTTTACTACTTTGAGCGCAAGAACCCTTGATTAAGTAACCAAATAATAACCTGGTACATTTTGTTAGCACTGTTGTGTACTTTCTGTACCAGTACATTGTGTAATTATCAGAGTAGATTAAGAAGTATTGGGTAAGAAGTGTTTTATCATGTAAAAATACCTGCACAGTTTGACAGCTGTTTTTATATTTTTATATTTCATTAAAGGATATTGTTTTTACCTTCATGCTCGAGTTCTATAAAATGGATATTTAACAAGTTCCCTGTCTGGTGTATAAGAAAATGCAACTTTGTCTTATACAAAAAATTAAAATAATAAACAATAAATAAATAAATAAACCTGTCCATAATATTAAAAATGTAAACATAGCTTATAACCGTAGCCATTTAATAACTCATAATATTGACATTTGTCTATACCTGACATGGTCCCCTTAAGAAATCATACCTCCAGCAGAGCTGTAATTAAGTGAATTTGGTTCCCAGTGCTGGGAAAACTTAACAGGAGGTGTAGCATGTCACTAGGGAAAGCTCATGTAGCCTTCTACACTTACTTTATATGTTGCAAACTGGGAACGATGGTGTTTCTGATCTTCACTGAGATGCTATGACTAAGGATTGAGTCATTTCTGTGGGTGCCCCTATGAAAGGCAGAGAGAAGGAAGTGTTGGATGGAGGGGCAATATGCATTTTGAGTGTGATGACCCAGAAAATAGAAAAAAAAGACCACATCTATTTGTGTAGGGTCAGTTTCACATTTGGGAAAGATGATGGATTGGCAGACAAAGGAA